CATTTAAATGAATTTAAATAACGTGAATATGATTAAAATTATTTATCATAATGAATTCTTAAGGAAATTATGACTTGCAATTACTTGTATATAAAACTAGTTACATCACGTTGTCTCTACTTCTTGCGCAGGATGAGATGGCGTGATGTAGAAATTAAATTGAAAGTAATAAATTGAAAAGTAATTACGTCGCATCTACTGCAAAATAGTGATATCGAGTGTTAACACAAAGATTAACTTCGACCAATTAAAAAGCTAAATGAGCCGCTGCCTCTGTTATGGGTCACTTAATTGAATCCACAGTTGATACACAAGATTTTTATGGTAATTGAATTGAGCTGAAACAAGATATGTCACAGTGTCACGTCTAGTTGAAGGATAGAAAGATGTTCCCCATTGTCTACTATATAAGGAACAGCGTAATGTAACAGATGGACTCCAAAACCAGTTTTTTCTTCTTGAACAAGACACGAAGAAGAAATAAAGCACGTTGAAATATGTTATCTACATTTTTATTTTTCCAAGAAAGTAATCCTGTAGTCAAGCTTTTATATTTTGTTTTCCTCTTGATTCAGTCCTCATATAGCTCGTTTAAATTGAGTTTTTATGTAAAAATACAGGTAGGCTTGTCCGCCTCAACCTGTAGACGAAGTGTGAAGCACATTTGTTTACATTCTTGATGTGCCAAGTTATGGACGAACCTACTATTCAGATAACTTCATTTGAGATAAATGATTCAGAGTTCAAATAGGTGATGCATTATTCATTCGAAAAGTATAAATGGGACAAGCTAATTGATGTGATTCTATGGACTGATTTTTTTTTGCAGTTAGTAGTTTGTAGTTTGTTTAAACACCAAGTCCTACAACTACGTCACACTCCTGTGTATCGTTCAATGATCATAATAAATCCGTTACCCGCCCCACTTAGAAAATCCAAAAAATTTAATCCGTCTTTTATCAGCAATCACCGGGTCGCATAAACTTTCCCACCCTTAGAGGGTTGCTAACGGACCACTCCTCGCATTCATCTCCCATTTTCTCATCACAATTGTCAGATTTAGTGTACCGCAAGGATCGCGATAAAAACGAGATTTCAATTCTGATTCGATAGTCGATTCACCCTCGCGCAAATTCTCGGATTACTCCCTACCACGGGAAAGCTAAATAGGCCTACGGCTTAGACGAGTGCTACGAACACGGGAACGAAAATTACATTCGAATATAAATAATGGAGGTAAAATTGAATGACATTTTCAGGATCAAAAACTACCAGCTTCTAGGATAGAAAGATGCTTCCCATCTACATATGAAAAACAGCGTAACGTAACACATGGACTTCCAAACCAGTTTTCCAAAATCTAAAGTGATAAAATTTACAATAAAAATAATTTAATTAGATATAACTATTTTTTTGGAATATTAGTATGAATTATGTGGATAATTAAATATTAGAACTACAAAAAAATCTAATAAATTCAAATAATTGTTGTACACTCAAAGTGCAAGACAAAAACATTTGAACTGATTATGAGTGAAATGTGTTAGCAGATAGTGTTAGTTTTAGGTTTTTATTTTTTTACTTGTTTTTTTATGCAACTATCACGTAGTTCACCCTAATAAATCCTGATGAAATGCGAATGAAACAAACTGGTACATTTTTTAAAGCAGAGTCTTTGAAAGTCGACAAATTTTAAAAAATTAAAATTTATGTTTAACAAATAGTGGGTAACTGTAAAAAACTTTAGGCAATTGTGTCAATATTTTTGACTAAAAATGTTATTTACGGTTACAGTTCCAAAGTTGAAAAAAAAACAATAATTAAAATTTAGTGCAATAACCGAAAAATTATCACAGTTTGACTAAATTTCTAGGTTGTACTCTAAAAGCTCTTATAACTTTCAAAACTCATAACCGATATAAGCTCTCAAATTTTACTACATTAGAAATTTTTTCTGTTTTTTTTTTAAGATTGTCATAATAATACTATCACCCTTTGGGCTTGACGCTGAGTTCTGGAACACCCTGTATATGTATGTACATATATTAGGGTGGTCCTTAAAATGGTCATTTTCGAATTTCCTTGCTCTCATGAGCTCAAATGGTTCCAAATTGATAAAAAACAATTCTCTGAAAGTTTAAGCTCTTAATATTAACGTTTAGATAGAGCGCAATTCAATCCAAGTTTTGTATGGAAATAGCATGGAAAAATTTTGAAAATTTAAAAAAAATGTTTTAGGTATAACTTTAGCGAAAAATTTTTTTTCATAGCAGCTATACAAAGTACATTCAGCTACATATTGTTACAGTTATATATTATTTGACTGCGTGAGAAGGATCGCTATCCTGCGATAGCCCTTCTTAGATGTTATGTTATATTTTGTAGTAAATCATTGCAGATTCTTTTTTTTGAGACGCTTTGGTGGTAAAGGCTTGAGCAGATCTAACGCTAATACGTTTGATGACGACTTAGACGAGCTTTGTATCTGGTGCAAGTAAAGACTATAGGATTAAAAAAATTGGGAAGAAGAAAATGCAGATGATTGATAACTTACGCAAGAAATGAAAGTACAGGGAACTGAAAGCCATAGCACAAGACCAGAAAACATGAAAGCAGTAGTTTGGAAAGGAGTTTTGAAATAAAAAGTGATTAATGGTGATAAAATGGTAATCGAAATAATAAACAAGAGAGAGAAAGAGAATCATCGATTTGTGGTGCCTTCATACCATGGACCTGCCTTCATACCATGGACCTGCCTTCGACCAGACTACTATTTATTATAATATTATATACATAACAAGACATATTCATGTATCTATTTCCATTGAAGCATGTATGATAGAAAACGATCAGTTATTACTATCCATTACAGTGATCGATGTTGTTCCACGAAAGTCTCCAAGGATCTCACATCACTAGGCGCGCGAGAATGTAGGAGATTGACAAGGAATGATTAATGTAAACGGCAAGTAACCCGGTTATTTGGCCCTTAAATATTGATAAACCGAGCCCCGGCAGTGACGCGACGCAAAATCGAATTAAGCGGCGGAAAGCCTCCCCATATATAAATAAGCTGAACTACCACACACCAGCGCGTTTGGATTAACTTGGAAAACTGGGGAAGAAAGCGTATGGGAGATCAGGCACGGGTAATTAATCGGGGAATAATTATAGTAGGTAGTAGATACTGTATCTATTAATATCTTAATGAAGAAATTTATATTTTGTATTTGACTGGAAATTGAATAATTAAATCATTTAGGAAACTACTGAAGTGATGATCAATTAAGTTTCTGGGTGACTTGGTGGAGTGGCTCAAAATAGTTGAATACTTCCAAATAAATAAACTTTGTTATTATTATCATTGTTCTGATCAAACTAATTAGTTCACGAGTAAAGTTTATGGCTCGTAGTCCGCGTATTATAACATATTCACGATTCTACAAGACGCCGCGGCGCCAAGTGTTCTAATCAATTAGAATCGACCTTCTACGGACTGTTACGTCAACATTAACGTAGGTCAACGTTATAAGTTATTGATATCGACTTCTATGACAAAAATCAACGTCAAGCTGTTGCTACTGACATTACATTTTAGTGTACTTATGCTATGAAGCACATTTCAATAAACAAACTTATGATATGATCCGATGAACTTAAGGAACACGCGATCAGATCTCAGGATTCGATAAGCCAAATCAGCGCATCATAAAACAAATAAAAGAAAAGACGGCCGAAGAAGTCCGAAGAAGTAAAGACAAAAAATTTGGATTGACTTTTACAACTCCATAAGCGGTTATAACACGTTGTTCATCGCTGATATATTTTTTGTAGTCTTCGCGAATCCGGAATGTGAATTTCTAAATCGCGGTGCTTTTAATGTTAATAAATATGATTAATCATGCATCTAATTTTTTGTAGGATTTCAATGACTAGACATTCATCAACAATGTCGTCGTCGTCTCTGCAGTAGTTGTACCAATTTTTAATAATTCAGCTACGATCTTCAACCCGCGACTGTTCTCGGTAAGGACTAACATGATCAAGAATAACCAGTTTAGCTCTCAAGTCGCAAAGACGAAAGCATTTTCTTCAGTACCAACTCGTGTAAAGATGTACGTTCATGCCTGTACCCGGAGCGGTTTCTGATTTCTCGGTAATGCTCGTTAGTTCTGCTTTTGGAGACATTTAAATTCTAAACGGATGCTGACCCTTGGATGTCAACCGGAGCGTTTTTCTTCGCCGGACCGAGATGCGACACTCGATAACGGTGGGACCGCTTATTATTATTCAAGCAATTAGCGTGATTTTTGTAAAATACCAGAATTGTTAGTGGACATACACTCATTGCAGATTTGAGTGGTCACATCAGTTGAGACATCAATAGCAAAGAAGCGCCAAGAAGCACATTATACCAAAATTGTTAGTGGACACAGACTTATTGCTGATTTTGAATTGACTACTGTTAAGACACTAATAGTTATGGAAACGCCAAGAACGTTGAAATATCTATATACTATATATTTCAGTGAAGTATAACTCAATTTCAAAAGTTGCAAGTTCAAATAATTATATAGTTTATATATGCATCCGTAAACACGAAAGCTCATATTTAAAATGTCAAGCATGACTCAATTTTCTAGAGACATATATTTCCACGTCATATGTTGAATGGATGGAATATTTTAAATATAGTATCACAATGCTAATTTCATTAGAATATTCATTAATATAATAATGAAATTTCTTTAGATACATTAGGTTTTACATAATATTACCGCTCGTTTCGGTAGAGTGAGTACTATATGCGGAGAGTTGTATTTTGTTGTATCTTCGTTTTTTTAATGATTATTCAAATCAGTTAAATGTAACAGTTCGGTATTTAAATATGTATAGTTTTATATTAAAAATGTGACGATTGCCTTCCAGTTGAATGAATACAATATAAAAATCAAGGTAAAAACTAAAACCCACAAAGTGATTTATTATAAAATAAATTTTTATAAAAATAAATGATATAAACTCACCAGTCTTCGTTTGGGTTTGATTAGTGGCCTATTCTGTCCATTCATCTTATAGTAAAGTCCGCAGGCATTGCAGAGGTAATGTCCTGTGCCATCTCGTCGCCAAAGAGGCGTTGAGGTTGCTCCACAATTCACGCACTCACGACCCTCTGTAAAATATTAAAAATAACTCCCATTGGTCCAATAATCACCTACTAAATTTTAAATAATATTCTAAGTCACATTTATGGGCCGACTATACTATAGACCAATGTCATGGCAAGACTATGTTGCGTAGCAGTTTTCATACAAAATGGTACTAAATACTGTCAAAAAGCTAAGTATTTGGACAACTTCACTCATATGTTATTAAACCGTATCACAAAAATCCAGTTATAATAACATTGTTTTTTGATATTTGTGCGTTTTCTAGGTTCTGTTTTCTATCTAAAACGCCTGACTGCACAGCAACCACATGACTTTTGACAAAATTTAGTACGATTTTGTGTAAAAACTGCTACATAACATTGGTCTATTTTACCTCAAAATCAACTCCTTAGTTTCAATCAATTAATCTTAATTTTTCTTTAAGAAACTTTAAATGAAATTTGATAAATTAATCATCAATCTGTTTCATGACAAATATATATGAGTATTCAAATTTGAATTATTAAAAAGAAGTATAAAATTGATTGATATTATTTTAATCTTAACTTTAATATAATAGTATTTTCAAGCACCATGCAATATCAAATTAATCTACGACATTTTAATAACCAAGCAAAGTAATAACTACATGCACTAATCATAAACGCACTGAATACAGTACATTCAGAGATCTGTTATTGAAAATAGAATAGCATTCAGCCAGCGCTACTACGTTTTAAATTTAATTGGACTCTTCCAAAATCCCACAAATTACAGAGATAATTAAATCAGTTTTCGATGCAGCAAATGCATTTTTTTCGATTTGAATCGTATTCAAAAAATGTCCTCTCGCTGCGTCCCATCGGTTAGCGATTCCACGAATTGCTCCCATACAAGAATTCTTCTTGCTGAAGAATTAATTCATCCGACTCGCTCGCACGCACTCCGCACTCCGACATCTCTTATGAAAATCATCTTACATCAAAATAATTCTAAAACATTAATTACCTAATTAATAACAGTCGTAAACATATCAAAGTTATTACAGCGTCATGCGGGTATCGCGTTGAACCGTAATGGAAAAAATTGGAAAACAAATAATAATAAACAAACACAAAAAGCATGCATTTAAACATTTTTTCTTGTATATTATGCATGAATCTAAATAAATATCGGACGCAAAGCGATGTTAATAAGTCGAGTTTTAATCGCCACCATGGTCTGGTCGAGTGTAGACCCAGTAGCCGAGGCGATGCATCGTTCCCTGTCATTAAATCGTGGACTTAATGTGTAGATGGTGAATGTTATTAATTATATGTACATTTCTACTGCTTTCTCAGCGTTTCATTTATTAAGTGGCTCCAATATGATCTAGCAACTTGCTCTGGGTAGTTGCAACTTAATTATAATAATTCTCTACTCTAAGTAGGCAACTATGTAACCATAGTTATTAGAGCTATTTCAGACCAAAAAAAATAATATTTGGTGAACGATCTTAAAAAAAGTTAAACTTATGCCTAGTATTTTTCCCCCCTAAAAATGCATATAAATTGTGATGAATAGCTTACAGTTATTAAGTGTGGACACTAATTGTGATTTCGAGAACTAGCACAGATCTCTTCCTCCGACAATATATTACCGAGTGACCAAATTCTGATTGAACTCTGTTTGAATCGAACTGTTTTCACAAACGTGTGCAAAAATTGAAGTTTAAAATATTCATTTAAAATAGTGATTCACTTCGTGAAAAAATAAAAGAAAAAACATTAATCGTTATAGATTTCGAAAACTAGCACAAATCTTTTCCTCCGACAAGATACTACCAAAAATTCTGATTGAACTCTGTATCAATTGAACTGTTTTCAGAAACGTGTGCAAAAATTAAAGTCTGTCTGTCTGTTCGGTCTTTAGTTTGAAATATTTATGCAAAAACAGTGATTAACTTTGGAACAAATTGCAAAAAATTATCTTTAATCGTTATAGATTTTGAGAACCATAACATATCTTCTCCTCCATTAAGATACTACCAAGTACCAAAAATTCTGATTAAAACCAGTTGAAATTGAACTGTGCAGAAATTGAAATATTTACCATTCAATTCAAAATATCCTTAAAAACAGTGATTGCAAAAAAGTATCTTTTACCATAGATCTCTTCCTCCGCCAAGATACCACCAAAGATCAAAAATCCAGATTGAACCCATGCGAAGGTTTTATTGTTGTCCATTTGTCAATCGTGTTTTTGTGTGTTTTTGTTCGTTGGCAGTTTTTAGAAACATTCGTATAGAGTTACACGAGCATCGATCCAGGTTCTGTATTGGAGAGAAAGAGACCTTGTGAGAAAAAGATCGGACGCGTCACCTGTTCGCCGGTACGGTAGCCCAACGTCCGCTGACAATTCCAATAAATCTACTGTTTTAATGCAACTGTTTAAATAATACGCATGATTATATTTTTCTTAGCTTTGAGACGAAGCTACGTCGGCAGGCATATGAGCGCGTTGACGTACGACCAAGGACCGGCATTATGTACGGCCGATTGCATGATAAAGAAATCAGAAATAATTATATTTTGCGTTTTCGTGCATAAGTTTTCAGTGAAAGGGAATAAAAATCAACGTAGAAAATTCGCATTTCGAGACATTGGGTACAAATCCTGATAACTGGTAAATTTCTAGCATGAGCTGGTGTGCTATTTGCCATCTTGTTGCATCAAATTACAAAAAAGGCTAACAAAAATTTTCTATTTAAATTTGTATTTAAAATTGCAACTTGTGGAAGTAACACAGGTTACTTTCACAAACAATCACAATCAATTACAACTCTTTCATCAATTACCATAATCCATTATATTTACTAAATGTCCTTACGGACAGTAGTAAATCTTTTATGTATAATAAAAAAAAATAAACTTAAGGATGTTCCAAGACTCTTTAGAATATTAAGCAAAAGTCTATATAAATCTGTTAATCTCATTTATGAATATATTAAAACAACATTGACAAAAAAACAATGTCAGATGTAAGAATAGACAACTGGATGTGCCTATTTGCTTGTGTTATAAAAGCTACACGTACAAGTGGCTAAAATGTGTTAATTATCGTAAATATATTTTACGGAAAAAACGTTTTTGTGCTAATCGTTATAATGATTATGAGTACTTATAGCCTCTCTTTTTGAAAAAAAAAATTCCAGTCTCAACTTTTACCCAAAATAAAATTATTACTAACGATTGGATGTACATATGAGTAGAACAACTTGCTAATATAAGTTGATTGATTTTGCTAATATAAGTTGAAATTTAATATAAAAAAATATCTTGTCTCAATAGTTAGTACATTTTAATTTTTTTTTAATCCACGTCTCAACTTATAAACTTTCATGTTAAACCAAATTTTTGCCAACATATTCTGTTTATCAATGTATTTTATAAATTTTTACAACAAGATTGAATGCAGTATAAGAAGTATAACTGGCTAATATGAGTTAATTTTTGTAAATATATTTTGCTGAAGAGAAGTCTTGTTTAATAGTGAATTTTGTAAATAGAGTCCGCATTTATATGAAATAAAATTGATTTCATCTTATGAACTTTTATGCTGACTAAATATTTGCAAAATCATATCCCTATTTATCGACATATTATTAATTTTTAATAAAATTTGGTAAATGATAATCTTGCTGAAATAGTCTTGTCCTAATAGTCAGTATGATCTTATAATTATAGTCATTTTTTTGAAAAAAAAAAGTGTCAACTTATTAATTTTTACGCAAAACAAAATTTTTGGTAACACATTTTACTCATTAACCTATTTTAAATTTTTGATAAAGTTGTATCTTTTGATAAAGTTTTTGATTTTCCGGTTTACAGAATTACTGGTAAAATTAGTATTACGTGATCTTTAAAAAGCTTTTCTTTAAAAATGCATATTATATTTAAAAAAAAGTTTCATATATGCACAGGTAGGTTGCAAACTAATAACAAAAAAACGTGGGCTAGCACAAACTAGTCGCGCGTTAGATTCTAACCACTCGTTAGAATCTAACGGTCAGCTCGATAACAAGATGTTTTAGATATCAAATATAATTTCGAGAAAAATCGCCTCTCGCAGGCATTGCTGCAACACTATTAGATACACATATTCAGCATATATAGTTCACACATATAAAAGAAAAGTGGTTGACCAATGGGTTGCCCCTCGAAAAAATACTTCATCGGGATAAACAATAGTAAACCTTAGCTTATAGAACATGTAGTTGTGATTGCTGTTAGAAAAAAAAATTTGAAAAAAAAACATATCCACAGGTATATAAAAAAAATTAGCAAATTTGAATATTTTTTATACAATTGTTATAAATATGTAGGTAAATAACTCCTATTATAAAAATTTTAATTTTTTATCCAGAATGTACTCAAAGAATACGATTTGATGTGATTACCAAACGAACTCTTACCAAAAAAATAATCGATCAATTCCTATAGCAATGCAATGCTGGTCGTCGCTTATAACGCGCGTATGACCGGGCACCTTTTTTTCACCTCGCAGCGAAAAAAGCGAAGTCATTCACGTCTACACTACATACGGTATAATTACCAATTTCATTTAGAGTGTACGGTACACATGTTGAATAATAAATACATACTCACTAAACTGACAAGAAGAAAACTTTGTAATGGTCACAATTTCTTTCACTACCTAACCTAACCAGACACAACCTAAATGCTAGATAATTCTAATACAATTTTTGGTTTCTGAACACTGCATTCCACTAAATCATGCAAAAATAATTTAATAACAACACCTCACCTGAATCATGTATAGGTACAATACAATCTATTTCTACTACTACTCATTGTTTTTCATGCAAAAGTGCGTAATTTGTTATTGAAGGAAAGGGTTAGGATTATTGGTTTATTATCTATAAGGAATTGTTTGAGAATATCAGTCACCCCAAAACATTTTGTACATTAAATGTTTGTTTTATATGAGACGTTTGAACAGTTCATTTAGTTTAATTTGATTG